GCAGCCATAGCTGCCTGTAGTAGAGATAGTCGGTGGCCATAGCTGCCATAGCTAGTGATAGGTACTAGTGTGTATGTGTGTGAGAGACACAGAGTGAGTGTGCGTGGAGTATCCAGGGAGATCCAGAGTTAAGTGTGAGTGTGTGTGAACAGTTGGTTGGGGACACGAGTGGGGAAGGATGTTGGGCGCTGGGGCGCCATAGCCAGCCAAAAGCGAGTTTGCATCTGAACTGTGTTCACGACTTTAGTATCTCTGAGCTGTGTGTGGGTGCACAGCGCCAGTGTACATCTTCATCTGTTTGCATGCATGGGAGTTGAAGAAGAAAGTGAGTCTGATTGCATAAAGAAGCAATAGAAGCAAAAAAAGAAAAAAGAAAAAGAGACGTACTGAAAAAAGAAAGTAAAGAAACTGGTGTTCACCACGCCACACACAGCGCCCTGTGAGTCACGAAACAAGCTGGGGCGTCTCTGCCCTGCAGTCCAAAAGAAAAAAGCAAGAATGAATCTGCTGCGAAATCAGCGGATTTGACAGAGAAGATTAGCATGGCCCTGCTCAGGGACGCGATAAATTGAAAAATGGGTCAAAAAAAAAAAGAAAAAAAGAAAGTCCTTCGGGACATCCGTTGAAATTGGAATGATACAGAGAAGATTAGCATGGCCCCTGCACAAGGATATAAAGGGAAAAAAAAAAAGGGAAAAAAAAAAAAACAGCTGTCATTGTTCTTGTCTTTTTGTGCATCATGTGGTGAGTGGTTGAGCGAAGCCCCGCGTACTACAAACAGAAGCCCTTCCTGCACTAGTCTTGACAAAATAAGAATGAATCTTGTATCAGATCATGGGTCGATACAGGAAGGATTAGCATAGGCTTCCCCGTGGTTTTTGTCCTTTTGTGCATGTGGTGAGTGGCTGAGCAAGGCCCCTCGTTTAGCAAACTGAGCGAATCTTCTGTTAGAACATGGGATCATGCAGAGAAGATTGGCATAGCCCTGTGCAGGGATGACACGTCCCATTTGAAGGCATACTCACACGATAACTTTTTATTTGAAGCTTTGGACGTGGTTGTGGTCAGATTTGGCTGATACAATCAGGGATTGGTAGTGTGAATATGCCGTCAACCAGAGTGCCTCAGGAGCTGACGAGGTTCCCCACCTTCGACGGCTATTCTGACGATGGAGGCCGCACATAGGGGGGAAAATGTAACTGAACGGAGAAAAAGGACGTCAGGCGTAGGGCGGGGGGGAAAGAAAAGAGAAACGGCAAAGAAAGAACAAACGACCAACATAGCAGTACCGGTCGCTAGCAATGAAGGACCGGTCATCCGCTATGTCTCTCTTTTTGTTTTTTTATGAAAAAAAAAAAAAACAAAGCCAGTTGCTCAGCTAGGAGAGGTGATAAGAGCAACCCCTCCTAGCTGGCTTCCTGGTCGCTCAAGTCTATTGGTGGGGAGCTACACCTGCTGGAAAACGGGTCCAACGGCCCTTTGTACATCAAAAGACCGAGAGTACTACCCACCTGCCAGCATTGATTGCCCTGGAAACCAGGGGATTGACTGCTCAGATGGCAAGGGGAAAGAGAGCGATATTGAGAGACATTGAGAGAAGGGGGGCTCTTCAGCCTGCTGCAGGGCGCTCGACAATTGCTGACCACTTAGCCTCCCTTCATCCCATTCTGAGAGCAGCACTGTAACTTGCTTCATGCTGCTAGTGTCACGCCCCGGGGGGCACCGGGAGATAACACCGTGGTCAGTTTGGATTACAGCCAGAGAAAGGGGGTGAGGCAGGAAGGGGTCCGGGAACTCAGACGGGGGTCTCATCGGGAAGGAAGGCTCGATATTAGTACAGTTATTGAATACCAGGTTATACTCTCTGGAAGGAACCTTGTCCTGTCCAAACCATCAGGTCCCCCCCCCCCCCTCAACCCATGCTATCCACCCCCCCCTGTCCCCCTAGCCAGTCCGTGCAGAAGGACATAATTGTCCCCTTGATATCCCGGTCGGTGTGGAAGATGTCTAGCTGAGCTTTGACCTTGCGCCACCTTTGTGTTAGCTCCAGCTCATGTCAGTTCCTGGCCTTCTACCCTAGCCCCTTCCAGCGCCAGGGTACAGCGCTGCCACCACAGCACCCATAGGATCGTCCGTCTGCCTAATCTGTACCAATTGTTCTCAAATGTGGATGCTTGTGCAAATGCAGTCCAGTGACCTACCAGTATGGCTTGCCAGGACCATGGCCAAGGTGTGGTAGGACCCATTTTCCGCCAGATGTGATCCCACCAGCGCCACATTTAGCAATGCAACAGGGCACTGCATGAAAATATGTTCGATAGTCTCATTCCACTTTTGTGGGGGGTAGGCTGTGGTGCATCTCTGGCACCATGGGAGCGCCGCGCCTTTTTGTTCCAAGCGGGTGTGATCTATCAGCCAAGCGTTTGTTGGCAGGCAGCGGTGGGCGATCTGCCACTGCAAGGATGGGATTTTGGCCGGCCTCACCTTTGGCCATGGGGCTGCTGAGCTGCGTAGCACCTGGCCATGGTAGGGGGCAATCCACTGATTGCCAAAGAGGGGTTGGTGGTATACCTCTTCCGAGCGGTCCGGTGCTGGTTTATCGGGAAGGGGAAGTTTGCGCCAGCCCTTCAAGATCGTGGGCCAGAATTCTGCTATTGGTTGGCCCTGAGTTCTATGTGGGATCGACCAAAAGCGATCCTCTAGCCACATGAGGGGGCCCACCTCTGGCGAGGCGGATGGGGCCAATCGTGCAGTGTGCTCAAGAGCCAATGCCCATATCAACATCTTCAACCATTTAAGGCGGAAGGCCTAAACATGCATTGGAGGATCGATAGTGCCTCGGCCCCCCACCCGCTTTGGTTGTATAACCGATTCCCATGCCACCCGGCTAATCACATTTGTGTGTTCATCAGTGCCCCAGCCTTGAGGGTTTGGAAAGCCGCCTTGCTTAATGGCCACAACACCGACTTATACCACAAGGTAACAAACACCACGTTGTTAATTGCCAGTGCCCTGCCAAAAATAGACGTGTGCTTATTATGCCAGGTGGCCAGTTTGGCCAAAGTCGGTGTGCTAATCCAACTGTCATTGGACAGCGGTCAGCCATAGACCGTCATGGTAACACCCAGGACGCGGACCGGAGCCTCTTGAGGGAGCCAATGTATGTTAGGGACATCCGGCGGGCCCCCCCCTTGATGGTGGATCCACCATCCTTGCGTTTTGCTCCCCCAATTTACCACCATGGCAGACACCTCCACAAACTTATTCATCAGTCGCCTGATTTCCTCCATATTTTGGTGTGTAGCATCCACCATAATGGCGAGGTCATCCGCGAACAGCGAACACACCGGGACAACGTCCTCTGGGATCTGTGCGATGCGGATTTTTGTAATATCTTAGTGCGGAGATTAGCAGATAAGGCCTCCATAATGACGAGGAAGAGAAAGGGGGCAATGGGGTCACCTTGGCATACCGACCTCTCCAGTTGGATTGTCGGGGTCAGGGACCCATTTATCTGCACCCTTGTGGTTGCGTTGCGGTGGAGAATACCTACCCACCTGCGAAAGCCCGACCCGAAGTTCCTTTTTATTCGAGCATTTGTTCAGGAACAGCCAATCGACATGGCCGTAGGCCTTCTGAAATCTATGAAAATGAGGGGGAGTTTTGCTTGGATTGTTGGATTAGTTGAATTACCTCGTGGACGAGCAGGATGTTTTCTTGGATCTGTCTTTGCTGCATAAATCATGTCTGTGAGGAATGTATTATATCCTCTAAGGCCAGAATTATCCGATTCACCAGAGCTTTAGCTAGCATTTTATAGACTACGGTGAGGAGGGTAATCGGTCGATAGTTCCAAATGTTAAACTTATCCCCTTTTTTTTATGAAGGAGGGATAACACCCCTTGACCCACTAGCTCCCCCATTTCCCTTGTCTGCCATACCTCATTATAGTAGTCCATAAGGTCAGAACTCGTACAATTTTTACATTGTCTCCCAAAATTCCTTTGGGAGGCCATCCAGCCCAAGGGTCTTCTCCTCATCCATCTGCATGAGGGCCTTCCATATTTCATCTTTGGTCAGGGGGGCCTCAAGCTGCCCTCGTTGTTCAGGAGAAAGCACCATGTTGATGGGTTGAAGGAAGTCTGCAATCTGCTGTAGGCGGGCGTCCTCTGCACAGGGGGGGATGTGGGAGGCAAAAAGGTCTTTGAAAAAATCCCGTGCAATTTTGACACATCCTGCCATAGAGAGTATAGGGTGGGTGTCTACTCCTCACGGTCCATACAGTGCTTCCACGATCGTGCGCTTGGCTCTCGCGTGGGCCAGGCCAAAGGACTTTGTGTGCATTGTGCCTTTCGTAGAGTATTTTGATAGTTTTCCCTGGATTCTTGCCCCTTGCCAGCGGTATTGTGCTTGTTGTAGCAACTGAGACTTAACAGTTTGCATCGCCTGTGTGAGTTGTTCTGGGTCTTGCGTATCGGGCTGCTGTTCTAGCTCTGGAAGCTGATTCATGAGATCGATTTCCTGTTGATTGCGTTGTCTTGCCAGCTGTTTGGAGAATTCGTTGCATTTTCTAGCCAAGAAAAACAGGCCGTTATTGAACCATGTTAAATTGGATGGCATTGTTCTTTCTCTTGAATTTGTACTTAGAAATTGGCCAGGATTGTAACAGAAAGAAAAAGAAAGTTTTGGTGAGAGGTGACTTACAAAGGAAGAAATAAGGGGGAGGGGGGGAAACCCTTATCCATGATGGTGGAGATAGGATTTCTGTCATGAGTGTCATGAGCAGTTCCCCCTAGGCAGCCAGGGGTAGGAACTGAGTACCACACCCCTGGTGGCTGAGTGGTACAGACGTGCAACTGTTGATGAACAGACTACGATAGCACTACACCACGTATACAAAAGAAGAGGAGGGCGTAATGATTCTTCAAAATACATCATTGAAAGCCCTTGAATGAGCCAACTTCAGCGAATGGTTGATTGTTTATGTTGCTCCCTCGCAGGCAGTGGTGCTCGCATTGGTGGAGATGTACATGATGTTGGGTGATGCACTCATTCCTCACTTAAGTGGGCTACCACACACACAACTCAAGCTGGTGACAATCTATGCCAACCGAATTACTCAGGTCTGTATGCACCGCACGAGCAATTTTCCTGATGCCCTTGATGGAACTGATGCTAACTCCGAACCTATTGAACCATAACTACGTCAGCTGTATGAGCCTGTATCCCCATGTCAGCCCTGTGTTTCTTTCACTTTGTACTCAATTCTGTTGGTAATGTTGGAATGTAATCATCATCTATAAGACTATAAGTTCTATAACAAAGGAAATTTCCCAGAATCTTTGCACTATCCAAGTTCACCTAGGCAAATTTGGCGTGTGGTTTACCCACTTTATCACAAAAATCAGATCTACTCAGGTTTTCGATTATATCAGAGAGAGGTGCTTCCATTGGAATATTAGTTACATGTAATGTACTTGCTGGGATGAAAGAACCAATAAACTTTTTTTGAGTATAGATCTAATTATTGTCTGATGGTAGCCTATTTGCTTCGTTTGGCTTCATGTTTCCTACATTTCGTTCTTGTACCTCTCTCGATGGATCAACGTTCGAGACTTGTATGTGTGCCTCTTAAACAACCACTGCCCGAGCCGCCAACCTGAACTGCCACCAGTGCACGTGGAGGCGGCGGGCTGAACTGGCGGCAACCTGCTGACCTCCCTGGAAAGAACCAGTGTTGCCAACCACTGACCACCGAATCCTGATTCTGCCAGCATCCAGTAAGGTTCTGGCTGTCATCATCGGTGAAATTGAGTTTCAACAGCATACGTAGTCTTGGACGTGCTGCAGGTTTAACAGTGGACAATGCAGCATGAAATTTATATGACCTGTTTCCTTTTTTTTCTGAGTGAAACCACCAGTGGGTCCAAGCCTCATTTTTTCTATGCGTTTTTTTGCCTTGCCATATGATCCAGACCATCGAGGGGAATTATTTGCATTATGGTCCTGGATATCTTTCAGTGCATAAACTCAAAGAAAGACAATGCCGTCTGATTGCAACTGACATGAAAGAGATTCGAAACAGAGATAGACAAAGGAGGAGGAAGTGTGGAGAATGGAAGAAGAAGAAGAAGAAGATGATGATGAACACAAGCAAGAACCAATGACACTCCTCCCTCAACCCGCCACCATCTCCCGCCTCCAGCATCTCTCCCAACATCTTATCTATATCTTTATCTATAGTATTCTATACTCTTATTAAAGTGTAAGCTGGGTCGTGCATGACGCTCCCGCGAGGCACGGCTGCCACTGTTGGGAAAACGGTGTTTCCCTCTTGGGCCCGCGGCGCTAGCTGGCCCGCATTGCCTGGCGTGTTTATGAATCTCTCGTCGCATGTTCGAATACAAGTGCATAGCGGCGGTGTTCTGTGCTTTGCGCTTTTTTTGTGTGTCTTTTGTCCTCTTGGGATTCTGTAAATCTGACTAGTTGTCGTTTTGTTTTCTTGGGACCGTTTTCCGTTTTAGGCGTGTCATCCAGTGTCAGGGCCTCGCTCTACTACTCACCAAATGTGCAAAATGAGAACGAACTTTCTCCTTTCTTTTTTATCTTTTCTTTTCTTTTTTGCTTAAAGAACCGGGGACTATTACCAGTGGGGGTGATATGAGCATCCCCCGCTAGTAGGAGTCTCTGGCTGCTCCATCTATTGGTGGGGAGCTGCACCTGCTGGAAAACGGGTCCAGTGTCCCCTGCAGAGATAAAACCATATGACAAGTTATGTCTGCCAGCATTGATCACCCCATAAAGTCTGGGGGATTGAAAGAATGAACTTTCTCCTAGAACATGGGTAGATACAGTTTTTGCTCTTTTTTTTTGTCCTTTGTGGAGAGGCAGACTGTGATGGCAGTCTGTACGAGGAGGACTAGAGCGTCATACAGGAGCATGTAGAAGAGCATACACTGGAGAAAGAGGAATATGAGGTGGCGAGAGAGCGAAGATCACACAAGCTGAATCAAGCTGAAAACGACACAGTCGAAAATAAGTGAATGAGACGCTTTTAAATTTCATGAATAAGCACAAAATGAATGTTCACAGCCTAAACCTTCGCAGGTATAGGACACCGAAAAGAACTGACACCGTCTGTCTCCTATCCCCCTTGCTCATCTCTCACTCGTACTCTTTTCCTGATCACTCCCCTGGCTTGCCTATACTCTACCATAGCCACAATCTCCCGAAAATGATCGGCAGCGCAGTAGTCCCTCTACGCGCTTCATCCGTCTGCACGACGGAATTGTCAAGAGGGTGGAATACTTCGTCAGCCGAGAAAAGGGACCAGCGTCCTGTCCGTTGGAATACTTATGCTCCCGGTAACAGCGCACGCGCTGAAGGGAGTGTTGTTTCTACAGACCTCTAGTGCCAATCTCATACATCACAGCTCTAGTTCAAACTGGTCTGCAGTTCAAGAACCTTCCCTGTCGTGGTCCATTCCCAAGAACACATTACCACTGTATATTCCCTCGATACCCGTCTGGATCCATGCAGGTTATCTCTGAAGCCGGTTTGTTCCATTTGTTGTCCATGCCGCGATTCGCGTCGGAACATAGCAGAGTTCGAAGTTTACGAGCTACAGGATAAGCATAAAACAAGAACAGAAGTGGAAAACGAAAGCATAACTATTAACTACCCCAGATTTAACATAAAAAAACGGAGGAAAGTTAGAACTTGGAAACAAAAGGAAAAGTAGACAAACACCAGGAGAAAGTGCAGACAAACAAGGACAATCCTATACAGACCAGACCAGATAAAGAAGACATTAGAGAACTAGAGCAGAATGGGGGTGGTACATCCAGATAGGCAAAAGCAAAGTGAGGAAGCTAATGAACCTCCAAGAGTATGAAGTTAAAATAGGCTACAAAATAAGAGACAATGCAATCGACCCATGCCAAGTTATCTCAAACAGATGGGTCAAACATCTGGGAAAGGAACACTGCTGGCCAGATTCAATACCATGGAATATTTTAGCCATATAAACCCGCTAGAATCAGAAGCCTGTAATGGCTCCTATATTGGGCCGTCCCAGCAACACCTAATGGCGGAAGGAGGGATAGGAGGACTCAGAAAGAGGACAAAGATGGACCACGATAAGCAGATAACCCCGGAGCTCAAAATTGTTTCATGGAATGTGAATGGGTTAGCAGGAAAACTAGATAACCAAGACAAGTGGAACAGCATCGCAAAATATGCAGGATGGTTCGATAGTTCTCCACCAGACTTCATCTGCTTTCAAGAAACTCACCTCACCGAATCCCAAGAACACCAGCAAACGAGGAGCAGGATAACACAAAAGCTGCGGCAGGTAAAAGGCCTGGTGGGCATCGGCGGTCAGGCCACACTCAGCAGTAGTAGTTATAATACAGAATAACAGGTCAGCAGTGAAAGTGAAATTAGTACTGAGAGAAACCCAAGTGGACTCAATAGAGGGTGGATGGGCGAAAGTCAACTTTGACTTCTATGACGAGCCATATACGCTGATGACGGTATACTGTCCTGATGGGTTACAGCAACGGAAGGGTACAATGGAATGCATACAGGAGCAATTGGAATCGGACAGGCACCTAATTGTAGTGGGAGACTGGAATGCCACGTTAGATCCCAGCTTAGATAGAATGTCAGCATCAAACAGACATTGGGAGGAGGGAGTGGGAGAAGAGGCCTTGCCAATTCACAATATGAGGATAAGCAGAGACTTGATGGACCCCTACAGACTCCACTTCCCGGAAGAAAAGCAGTTCACCTATCTCAAAAGGAACCGTAGCCAGCATATCTCAGCGTCAAGAATAGACTACTCCCTGACATCCCCAGGTATAACAGGCATGATACATGAGGTAGGCATAGGTGATTTACCGTACATGGCAGGTCTGGACCATAAGTCAGTTTTTCTACACTTGGTAACAGACAAACAGGTCGCGAGGTGGAGGAGTTTCTATAAAGTAAATAACTCGCTACTGCGTACCACGGATACGAGGCAGGCTATGCTACAAGTATGTTAGTCCCATAACCCTGACTCACAGGCCTTCCCAGAGCTGCTCATCGCCCTGTCCAAAGCCTCTGAAGGGGTGGCCAGGCGGATGGCGGTTAGGACGAGGGACATGCGATGAGATTAGCTGAGAGTAACATCATCAGGTGTCCAGGAGTGACGATTTATGAAAGGACTTTAGAGGCGGCAAGGGAGGAGCTAGCAGAAGGGGAACGATGGAGATTGTGGGGTCTTCAAATGAGAGCCAGGGTAAAGGAGTGGGAAGAAGGAGAGTGAATGATCAAAATTTTCTTTCAGAAAATCGAGACCAGAGGAAGAAACACCCTGATAGATCAATTGGAGGGACCGAATGGTCTAACATCTACCATAGAAGGGATGATTCAGGTAGCCCATGATTTCTACAGCAAGCTATATGCGACAAGGGAGGCCAAACATGTAAGGCAGCAGGTGGAGGAGGCACGATCTAAGTTTCTGCTCCACCTTGAGCCTACGATCACCCTACAGCAAGCAGCGAAGCTTGACGCCCCGTTGACCCAAGAAGAATTATGGAAGGCGCCGAAGTCGATGTCCCCAAATAAGACATCAGGGAAGGATGGATTGACCAAGGAATTCTGGGTAGAGTACTGACCAATCCTGGGCGAAGAGTATCTAGCATACTTCGAGCAAGCATGGCAAGCAGAAGGCCAGGGACAGGACCCGGCGACGGGAACAGTCACATTACTGTACAAGAAAGGAAGTTCAACGGACATTCGCAACTACAAACCAATAACTTCACTCACGCTCACGCACAAGATAGCAGCCAAACTATTAGCCAATCGTCTCACAACAATCACAGCGGGATGCTTTCGCTTGGATCAGACGGGGCTTATACCTGGACGGTTCATATTAGACAATGTCATGGCGCTAGCAGAGTCAATACGATACATAAAGGACAAGAGAATTAATGTGGCAATACTGTTCTTCGACTTCCAAAAGGCGTAGGACCAGGTCAATTGGCCTTTCCTGCAACAATGTATGGAGAAGATGGGAGTAGGCCCAAATTTCTGAAAATGGATCAGAGTTCTCTACAACGACGCACATGGACAAGTTCATATTAATGGTCATCTATCAATGAGATACAGAATGTCGCGATCAGTCAGGCAAGGGGACCCCTTGGCTGCACCAATCTTCCTATTTATAATGGAGGCGGTGGCATCCTTTCTCAGAAAGGATCCATCAATCCAACGACTTATAACAGAGCCAGATCAACAAGGACGTCGTATCCACCTGCCTACAACCCTCCTCTTCGCGGACGACCTCACAGT